AATTTCTTAGTTGTCATGTTCTCTTAAGTTTCGGTAATTTTATTTATTTATCATATTTTTAATATTTATATATATTTTATCTATAACTAAAACGAATTTATATGAATATATCATATTTTTAGAAAATAAGATAATTCTTGTGAATTATGTTGTTATCTTGAAATATACTTTTATATTTAAAAATTAAATTTTAAATGAAGATATAAAAACTTTTATATTTATCTAAAACACATTTATATTTATAATTTAATATTTAAATATAACTAAAACGAATTTATATTAATAATTTCTAAAATAAGATAATTATTATGTATTATGTTGTTATGGTGAAAATATATTTTCCTATTAAACTTAAAATTAAGATATAAAAATGATATTATTAATAATTAAATCTAAATCATAATTAAATCTAAATCATAATTAAATATAAATCATCAAAAAAATTATTTGAAAAGTGAATTTGTTGATTTGTATCTACGATCCTAGGTAATTTTGATCATTTATGAGAATTTCTATAATTTTGTTTATTATTGATTATATAATTAAAACTAATTTATATTAATAATACGATATTTTAGAAAATAAGTTAATTCTTATGTATTATGCTGTTATCTTGAAAATATATTTTTTCTATTATAAAATTTAAAATAAATATGTAAAAAATCTATACTATTATTTAAGAAGTGAATTTGATGTTTGCTGATTTGTCATATTTTCCATGAGTTTAGGTAATTTTGATAATTTATCACAATTTATATATTTTATATATAATTTATTATATATTTTATATATAATTTATTATATATTTAAAACAAATTTATAATTAGTATCAGATTCGTAGAAAATAAGATACTTCTTATGTATTAAGTTGTTGTCTTGAAAATATATTTTTCTGTTAGAAATTTAAAATTAAGATATAAAAGGTTTTAGTTATTCTATAATTGGAATAAATTTACACTAATAATATTATACTTTTATAAAATAAAGTAATTCTTATGTATTATGTTGTTATCTTGAAAATATATTTTTATATTATATAATTTTAAAGTAAGATATAAAAATTATCTATTATTAATTAAATATAAATCATCACTCAAGAAAAAATATTTAAGAAGTGAATTTGGTGATTCATTAAGTTTTCTATAATTTTAGGTAACTTTAATTCTATGTCATAATTTCTATAATCTTATATTATTATTATATAATTAAAAAAATTATTATATTATATTCTTAGAAAATAAATAACTTATGCATTATATTGTTATCTTGAAAATATGTTTTCTCTTATAAAATTTAAAATTAAGATACAAATATTATAATTAAATATAAATCAAGAAAATAATGATAGAAATATATTCTTATAAATCTTTCTGATGTTTGAGTTTTGTCATTGATAATTATTTGATGTTTGAACTTTCATTTTTTGAAAACATAAATAATAACTTATTATGCTGATTTTGAATTAATAAAACATCAACTAATAAATATTCATAAGAGAATTATGGCTGCAAAAGAATTATGCCCGCAAATGCGGGCAAAACATCAATTTTAAAGGAAGAGTATACATTGGAGACATGTATTTAATTATAAAAACTGGGACTTAGCCACTAGACTGCGTAATCTGAATATCTATATTTCATATATTTAATATGTACCTAAAACTAGGCGCCGAGTAAATCCCGTTTAATCCCTGTTTTTTCCGTAACTCGCTACGCGTAAAATTACCGTCCGACTAGCGCCTAACATAGTTTTGAACAATGGTTTACAATAAAACCACCAAAACCTACCCTCCAGTACAGGATCAATAGTGATGGATAATATTTGTGTTTACATATTAACTAGGTGATAATCCGCGCCCTCCGCAAAGTGGGTGATTAAAAAATATTTTTACTTTAATATAAAAGTATTAGTAAGTTACAAGTCATAGTAACCAATGTTATTTATAATGAATTATTGATCAAAATTATGTAGATTTATATAATGTAAGTTTTTTGTTTTCTAAAAACTTGTTTAATTAGTTAGTTGTAATTGAAGTATATTACATGGTAATAAATTTTTAAGAATAAGCAAAGACTTAAACTTTTTTATGAATTTAAGATAAAACAAAACATAAAAATATAATTATTTATTTCATAACTAAAATTATGATTAATATAAAAATTGAAACATATATAAAAGAATAACAAAATACTAAAGAAACAAATTATAAAAAAACAAAAAAAAAATTAAAAGCACAACCAATGTGAAATGTGTATTCAAAACTCCTGGTTTGCAATCATATATAGAGAAATACTAAAGAATCAGGTATCAGACTAAACATACTTATTTACCAAATTCATAATCGAAATGATATACCTCTTTCTCAAATAATCAATTTGTCTGAAACATTATTGGGTTCAAATTTTTTTTTTTGCAAAACCCATCAATGTTAGTTCGAAATCAGTTCTTTCTTTATAGACGCATGAGTTTTATCTCCCTACAAAAGAAAAAAAACGTGAAGGTCAAATATACAGAGAATTACACGTTAAAGATTTTGAGAAAACACCTAATAAGAACAACTTACCGTTGCATCCACGAAGACCATGACTATAATGAATTAGCATGAAAAGTTAACTCTTAGTAAATGGGATAGAGATTAGAAATGGATATTTCCTTTTGTTGATTATGGAAACTGATTATCAAATCGAATATGGCAACATATACTATAGATACATAAAATGCATAAAATGAAACATATATTAGTTGGTAATGGCATGATATGTTTAGTTTAGTCAAAAATGATTGTTTAATAAAGGATGTGAGGTGGATTGTAGACATGACACATAAGCAAAGGTAAACTTGTTAATCACACATGATTGTAAGGTTTATTTTTAAAAGTGATCTTCAAATAATAAGAAGGGGATTGAAGGTTGATTGTGTGTTTAATTATGCAATTAAACCCACTGTAGTTAAGAAACGTAGTGGTGTTACAACGTACGAACTAACAGTTTCGTCTGAAGATTCTGTAAATGTAATTATAGAATTAACTACAGTCAAGATTCAATAATGAAGCAATGCAATTAATATAACGCTTACAGAGTTACAGTAGTAACTGAGGAGGAAATGTACTCTTTCTTACGTACTATTGACCGTACCATCACATCTCTTTCCCAATATTCCCATTCAAAGTTATAATGGTTTTTAATAAAAAGGTTATATAATTATTCCTTTATATAACAAACTATTAGATTGCTTCATTTAAACAATACAAAACACGTGAGATTGAAACAATACAATTTTTTTTTTTTTTTTTGAGAAAGAACAATACAAAAATTGCCGACAGATTTAAAAGAATCACGGGAAAAACTAATCAAAATATTAACAAGATTTATATGGTGTGGTGTTGAGACATTGAAGAAAAAAACAAGTAGCAAGTAGTAGTAACTAGAGTTAGAAAGTGACCAGAGGAACGGGTTAAGAAAAAAGCCAAAAGGAAACAAGTAGCGGCCAACCGAATTAAATGGAGGACTTGGGGGGTTAGATGCAAGAGTCACATGGTTTGGCAAAGCGTCGTGCTGCTGCATCAGCCGGGTCTAGGGATCTGCTGCGGCCAAACCTACTGTTCTCTTTCTGTGTTCCCCACTTGATAATCTCCAAGTTGGTAATGTCTTAATTCTAAAGATTAGCTATTTATTAAAAAAAAAAATTACATGTACTCTTATAAGTTGCATCTCTTAGATAACTTGTATTACTCGAGTGAGAGCACTAATCTACATCATCAGCTTCGTTTAACTACTATTGGATTTTCATAAGGTATTAAGAGTTTTCTTTTATATTCGTCACTCAAATTTAAAATACTTTACAGTCATGTCTAATGTAGAAAAAAACCAGGATCGATAACATGTTAGAAGTGATTTTCACTTATGTGCGAGCGGCAAAAAATCCCGTAGTATTTTCTTTAAAAAGCAGTTGATAATTTGTTTTTCCAATCTTTTGGATGTACATAAAAGATTGGCTGCTTTAAACACAGTAGCTACATATGCAAGAGTTTGTAAAAAGCAATGATTTTGGTTTCAAGTACTATCAAACGAGTTTATATGAGCGGTTAGAAATAAATGTTTTGTAGACTGATTAATTAGCATATGAATCAGTGATTAGATAGTAAACTAAACAATGTTAACATACTACATATTTATAAATATAAAAAATACTAGCACAACAAAGTATAAATTATTAATTTGATATAGCTAATATAGTTATATATATTTAGACTTTTGTTTAGATGAAAATTATAATTTAATTACTTCTTTTTTATAAATAAGAATATTATATTTTAAAAATATTTATTTAATTTATATAAATATATTTGTATATATTAGTGGCTAAGAAATTTTATAGAAAATATATTGCTTTAGTTATTATCAATATAAATAAAAATTATCAAATATAAATGGTACTATACATATATAGTTATAATATCTGAATTAACTTAGTATTAAATTTTTAAATAATTTTTTTTTTTTAAATTGAGTATTTTTCAGCAAACAAAAAAAATTGAGTTTTTTTCGTTGAAATCACATAATCGAGTTTCTAATCAAACCCGAAAAAATAATTATTTTTTTTGTTAAAATTACCAAAATCCTGTCAAAGTGTAAAATTGAGTGTTTCCGCCAAAATTGTAAAATAGAATATTTTCCACAAAAAAAACAAGAGTCGAGCTTTCCCGCAGAAATTGAGTATAAATATATCTGTTGATCAGATTACTTACTATATTGATTTTTTCTTTTACCAATTTAACACACTTTAGCTAAAAAAGAAAAGCAGAACTAGAAATTTAAATATTTAAACAAGTAAATATTCAAAACTAAGATATGAAAGACATTTAAAAATAGATAAAATAAAATAAAAGTGAAATAGTTAAACCGGGTTGGGTTAATTTTCTTGCTAAAATTACTGGGCCTCAAATTATACGAGGCACATCGTAGGCCAGAGTTGAGAGGGCAGACGGTAGCTAACTAAGCTAAAGCAAATTTATTGGGTATATATAAGAGAGATACACGACAAAGGCAATAGAGAACCCTAATTTTATCAATTGCGAAGGAGGATGAGCGGTCTTGCGGAGGATATACTGACGGTCGGTCTTGGGGAGAAATTGGTTGGGGAGGAGATACTGCCGAGGGTTCCGATAACATCACTGAAGGCGGTTCGATCTACTTGCAAAAAGTGGGACGCTCTAACGAAAAGGTGTGTTTTGGGTAAAGAAGCACCAGAGCAGCAGCATCAGTTCCTGGGGTTCGCGACGATAAATGACAAGTTATGCTCTCTGAGGTTCCATCTCGGCGGCGAAGAAGAAAGAGATGATTTTGTATCGGTAAAGCAGGTAGATTTGTTTAAACATTTGGAGATATCAAAAGTATACCACTGCGACGGGTTGGTGCTATGTATCCCTAAGGATAAGGATAACTCCTCCAACAAGCTGCTTTTGTGGAACCCTTATCTGTCTCAAACAAGGTGGATCGGGCCGAGGGAAAATTTCAGCCTAAGAGACAGGTATGCGATCGGATACGATGACTCCCACAACCACAAAATCCTGAGGTTTGTCGATAGTGCCAGAGGTCTTATTGGACTGGGACGCGAGGTGGGGTTCGAAATCTATGACATCAGCAGGTCTAGTTCTAATTCTAATTCTAGTTCTAGTTCTAGTTCATGGAGGGTCCTCGAGGTGACACCTGAGTGGTCGATAGATATGCATCAGCGAGGCGTGACTGTCAAGGGAAACACCTACTTTTATGCTCATCAGAGATTTGCGGATATGCGACATGACTATCTTGCTTGGGCTGAAGATTTCTTACTATGTTTTGATTTTACCAATGAGAGGTTTGGACCACCCCTGCCTCTTCCTTTTCACTCTACCGACTCTGGCATTGGTGACTGTGTCACCCTCTCAAGCTTCGCTAGACATCATGTTCATGAAGATGACCAGCTTGCGGTCCTGTTTGGTGGTCTTGAAACTGACTTTTTTGAGATTTGGGTTACCCTTACTGCTGTTGAGCCCAACCATGTGTCCTGGATCAAGTTTTTGCGAGTGGATATTTCTTTTAACCTCAACTCGCATTTTGGTGGGAGCTTCTTTGTTAATGAGGAAAACAAAGTTGCTGTCTTGTTTGAATCCAATATTTTGCACACGGCTTATGTGTTTGGACAAGACGGCTACTTCAATTACGTGAAGCTCGGAAAAGCTCTCGTACTCGAACACCGTTCCCCCATTACCAACCGCCTCTATAAAGCTGCTCATCCCCCACTTGTTTCCTCTTCCTCTTATCGTCCAAGCTTAGTGCAACTCACGCAGCAGCAGCAGCAGCATTCGCGCAAAAGGAAACGGGAAACAACGCCAACCTGCTCAGAGATCTAAAGTGTAAGTTTATTATCAAGCTTTCAGTTTGAGAAATGCCATTATACAACTAGTAGTATTCTTACAGAAACAGAATGTTTGATTTTCACAATTTTTACAGGTTGAATTGAGGATGATGTTACTCTGACCAAGTTTGAGATATGGAAACTCTTTACTTTTGTTTTATCTTGGTTGTGATTGAGGATGATGTTACTCTGGCCAAGTTTGAGATGTGGAAACTCTTTACTTTTGTTTTATCTTGGTTGTGATCGCACTCTCTCTTTTATCCTCTGTCTCAGACTGTTCGTTTTCAGACTTTCTTGTTTCTAAGACTATTATTCTATGCTCTTATGTTTTGTTTTGTTTTTTGACATTACCCCCTATTGTTTTTATCGTCTATCTTTGTGTTTATGCTTGTCTTTTGTTTTCATTGCCATATCCTAAATCCTGCAATGTACTGACCAATCTTATTTACAAATTTAACTGGGTGTGTGTATCATTTTTGTGAATTTTAAAATGCATACAAAGTGGTTCAACGGAAATCAAGTCAAATCATTAACAAACCGAAATTATGAAAATGTACAACAATATCGAAGTGTCTGGATATTCTTAAGATTTAATAGTAAATTTCTTTATGGTTTATGGCTTAGAAGTTAGGTTAGTGCAAAAGAGATTTTAAATTGTTCCATTTAATTAAAATCTGGTTATTTGTTGAATTACTTTTTATGGAGTCAAAAATTATCTACAGTTGTTTACTTAGCCATTAAAAATAATTTTCATAATTTTTACTGATATATTTACATGAATCAAAGTAATTCATTTCACAAACTAATTTATGATACCTATGAAATTTCATTTTTATGATAAATACTAGGTTTTTTGCCTGCTCATGGGACTTAATAATGTAAAAATTAATTTGTAATAACATTATTCAAATTTTACAAAATTTATTTTTTGTTTATACATCTTCTTATTTATGATATTTTTTATGTTTAAAAAACATTTTCAGATAACAACCAAGTATATTTAAGAATTACTTTTCTAAGAAGAATATATAATTTTGATATTTTGATTAATAATTTATAATTATCAAATATAACATCTAAAGCTAATATTATTAACCAAAAATTAGTTTTTAATTTTAATTATTTAATAAATTATATATAAAAGTGAATTAAGGGTAATATTAAATTAACCAATCTAACTTTTATGCTACTTATGTAATTTTTTTTGAAAGTTAATTGTATATTGTATTCATTATTAATAAATAAATATTTAAAACCACTAAATATTCTCTTTTAATTTATTTAAAATTAATAATTTTAGTTGATTTTATTTAGTTATGTATTTTCTGTTTTTGAATTTGTAACATTGATACTAACTGATATGTTTAGGTAATGACACAATATATATACAAATTATTATTTTGTTTTAAAATATTGTTTTAGATTTTGGATAATTCTTCTTATTATTAATTTTAACCATTTATATAATCAAATAAATCTTAAATTAGTTTTTTTTATTTTTTGGGTAATTTACATAAATTTTTCATTAAGGGTACAGAAGAGAAGCCTTACTATTATTAATTGTTATCACTTATCTAATCAAATAAATTTTAAATTCGTTTTTATATTTTGGGTAATTATATAAAATTTTCATTAAGGGTATAAACGATATTAGCCACTCTAACTTTTAATGTGAGAGCTCTGCTGAGAAAAAATACTTCGCAAATATTAGTATAGATTTAACACACTACATTATTTAACACATTAAAACAATATATTATCACTTATAAATAATATTGACTTCACTTAAACTTTGATATGACTTTTAATATATGTATATATACATATTATATAATGTATATAATCAAATTTTGTTTATATATTAATCTAGAATTAATATAAAAATATATGAACAGTTTATTAGTTTTTGATATCTTCAAGAACAGTCACAAAAAATATCTTCAAGGGTTATTATTAATTTTTCTCAAGAAATTCTTTTGTGTTTGAAATGTTTACAGACAGAAACAAAAAAAAAGAAGAAAAACACGTCTTTAGGACCTGACTAGTTACAACGCAGCGACTGCGATTGCGGTTGCATGCGTTTGCGAATACGAGAGATTGCGGTTTTAAACGTTAGTAAGAGATTTATATGACTGGTTCAACGGTAAAAATTGTTGCGTTTGCGAGATAATTATGACTGATTTATCATCAAATACAACAGCGGTTAGGTAATAAATTAACAATATTTCTATTTTATATATTTACCAAAATATTAAAATCATATTTTCATAATAAATATAAATTTTTATTGAAAAAACTGCACTATTATTTTTTTTTAAAAAATAAGAAAGTATTTTTGGGAAATTTTATAATATAAATATTCCAGTATTGCAATTATTTTAATTTAAATTTAAATTGAATATTTTATTTTTATATTTATATAGTTTTTTGGAAAAAATATATTTTTTATCCTCCCGCAATCGCAAACGCTAGCTGGAATCAGTTTTTGAATTTTAGAGATTCAAAACGATTTGAAGCGGTTTATGTGATTGTTGCAAAACGCCAACAATCGCTACCAACCGTAAAATCTACGTTTGCGGGTGATGGCGGGAGAACCAGTCACACCCTTAATATCAAAAGTCACCCACTCTTTGATGTTGGAATAAAATTATCAGAAGAAAACCTAGATTCTGATTATCCATCATTATAATACATATTTGTATGACATATACACCAATATAATATACTATCCAAAATATACTATACTTTTGGAGTTAGGTATTCATATATATTGTTCAAGTGTCAGATTAAATTGTAAAGCTTCAAAGATTGAAATTTGTAGTTTAGTACGTGAAGAATATTGCCACTCCTATCGCCACCGGTTGGTAGCTGCAATTTGTGTGTTAGATTTGAGTCTAATGACAGCTTTCGATTCCATAATAACAGCCTAAATACATTGCATAGGCTTTTTGAATAATTCCGGGATTTAACTATATACAGTGTTGTAAAAGTCCTTCTGGTTTTATTTCATTCTCAAACTTTTCTTCTTCTTCTTCTTCTTCTTTTAATTTTCATATCTGAGAAAAAAATAGGGAGACTGCATATGTGATCAGTGTTTAATCTATAGTATTAATTAAAAACGTATATTCTTTCTTCTTTCTATTGAATAATACAAATGATACTGTCAAACGACGTAGTAGTTGACAAAAAAAAAAGTTTCTTTTACGACAAAATATATGACGAAACAAAAACGGCAGGACGTTTACTTTTTATCATTAACTAAATCTCAACAACTTACCGTTTTAGTTAAATTTCAAGAGAATGCACGTCGTTTTAAATGAAAGTGACCCAGCGTAAAGAGGATAAGATCATCACGTGATCGAAAGTCAGAAGTCATATCTTCTTCTTCCTCTTACTCTTTCTCTCCTCTCCCGTTGGATCATAACAACAAGACAATTCAATCCTCATCCCGTCACTCTTTTCTGATCTCTCTGATATTTTCCTCTTGTTTTTTTCGAGATTTTACCAAAGACAATTTTAATATTCGATAAAGACAAAACACTTTTTTTTTTTCGGACAACTTATTTTTGCTGTAATAAAAATCAAAACTGGGTTTGTAGTAAATCGTTGCCACACGATCTAATAAAATCCTCCTTAGCCATAGAAAATTTTCTCTTTTTTCTATATTTTTTGAGAGACGCAGACAGGGAGATGAATATGAAGCACTAGTTGTGTTTGTGTTTTGTGCAAAATCAATCAGATTAAGTGTGTGGGGTTTGTGGATGCAACATCATCTTCTTTGGTCAGCTTCCTTTCTTTTCTCCTGATTTTTCTCACAATATTCTAATTTTTTTTTCTTCTTCTATTTTTAAAGTTCATTCCTTTTGTGATTGAAAACTTGTTTATAAATCTGCAAAAAAAAAAAAATTGTTTAATTTCTGTTTCACATGGATCAATCAATCTCTTCTGCTTGCAAATAGAAACATTAGATCTTTCTCTTATTTAAATTTTGTTAATTTTTTTTTTGTTTCACCAGAGATTTGATTCTGTAGCCATCTCTCTGGAAATAAATAAAGTTTGCATCTTTACATTCTTTCAATTTTTGGTTAATCATCTCTCTGTTTCTTGCAAGTAAAGTTTGAATCTTTTACATTCTTTGTGATGTAATGAATGATTCTCTTTTCTCATTTTGATATGATTCAAATTTTCTGCAGCAAAGAACATAAACGTGTGATGCTAATCTTTGGATTCAGTGAGAAATAGAGATTGGTTTTGGTTCTTGTTAATCATGGAGCCTTACGAGACACGTAACAACAACGGTGAAGCTTATCAGATGGTGAGATATCAGACTTATAACAACCATCACAATCCAAGGATATCATCATCATCATCATCATCATTACCAGCATTGCCATTGCTGGATTTGAGAGTGTTTTATGTCAGAATCAACAACTTCAAGGTGGATGATTCCACACCTGAGATCCTCACAATCACACACATCCCTCTTGATCCAGACTCTCTTCTTGAGATCAACGGTGTGAGAATGAGCATCAACTCTGAAGGAGTCTCCTCTCAGTTAAGGAGAGATCGTGTTGATAAGAAATCAGAGGAAGCTACTTTCATCAGCACTGATAATATCAGGTTATCTGGTAGTGTGAAGTTTGAGGTTTGTGACAAGGATGAGCTTGTTTTGTCTGGGACGTTGGAGATGTCTGGGAGTAATGGTTTCACAGGGGAGTCTAAGCATAGCGTAAAGCGGTGGAGCATGAATTGTGAAGCTGAGATTACTGCAGGGTCTGGTTTCTTGAAGGAGAAACATATTGGTTGTTCTGAGTTGTCATCTCCGTTGCCAACTATTGAAGTGTACGTCACTGGTTGCTTCTCAGGAACACCTATCATTCTAACAAAGACACTGGAGCTTGGTTTCAGAAAGAAGCAGAGTAGAACGAGTGCGTTAGATTCGATTCCTGAGTATGAAACTGGTGATTCTCAGAAAGGCAGCTCATCTGAGCTTGATTTTCAGGTAAGTTTCAATTTGCTGCTTCACTGTTTATTAAATTAACAATGTTATTTAATTATTTGTTTCTATCTGCAACACATTGAATGTTTTACCTAGGATATGAGTCTTGTTAGGCATGGTGTGTATAGGCAGGTATGAGCATTAAGTTTTTCATGGTTCTGAGATTTCTCATATCTTGACACATGTGTACTTTTAGGAAGATAAGTTCTTTTAGATATTGAAGTGGACCAATTTTGTGATAAATGATCATGTGATGTATGGGGCCTGACACGTTTTACAAGTCAGTAGATAGCTCTCTCACTCTCTCTCCCATTTGCATGTTGTCTTGATTTTAATACCTTAATTCTTATCCTTCTGTCTTCTGTCTTGATTTTAATATCTGAATTCTTATCCTTCTGTCTTCTATAGTGCCGCAAATATAAACTTAATCTGGAAAACATTCCCTAATGAAGAGTCAATGTTAAGATTAGGATTGCTTTGAGTTTTATTTTGAAGATTCTAGCAGTGACTTGTAAAACCTATTGGATATGATTCACCCTAGGTTAATAGCTTCCCATTGACTTTATTTCAATGTCTATAACTTCCTCCTAAAAGTCATGGAAGTGCAGGCACCAGTATTAGATACAATCCGAAACAAATAGTTAAGATTGGAGCAAAAGATACCATTAGCCTCTATTCTACAACTGTAATGAAATGGTCTTTTGCTTGACTATCTCTATGAATGCCTCTTTCTTATTTTTCTTTTTATACAGAGAGGCATGTATTTACCACTACATACTCGGATCTCTATGTTGCTGAGTTCTTTTGCAGTGTTTTGTCCTGAGTATGCGAGTTCTTTTTTGTCTGTGTAGGTCACAGAATACGGAAGCTATAAACAAGATTATGAAGGAGAATATGAGGACATGTATATGGGAAGAGAGTACGCAGATGGTGAAGATGGTGAGATGTCATGGTTCAATGCGGGTGTGAGGGTAGGTGTGGGAATAGGTCTTGGTGTATGTGTAGGTCTGGGCATTGGTGTTGGCCTTCTAGTACGTACCTATCAATCAACCACCAGAAACTTCAGAAGAAGGCTTATCTAACCTTCTCACTCAAATCACCTTAAGCATCTTCCCCCACTCCATTCTCTCTTTTTTTGACTGATAGTCTCTTAATACCTAATACTGTTGTGTAGCCATAATCTTTCTTCGTGTGGTTTTTAATTATTAATCTTTGTGCCTTGCAATTTTGAAAGGAACCATTTGTCTTGTGTTTGTTGAGAGATTCAGACTGAAAGAAACAAAAAGTTTGTTGTTGCTGGTATTGCCTGCTTACTGTAAATAATTAAATATAAATGCTTTTTGAGTGTACTTATGAACACAAATTCTTTTATTTCATCAACTTTTGTTCCTCCTTGGCATCAAGAGCTGGTCCATTTGAAATTGGATTGGTTATACCACATATACCTACTTCAAAACCGGTTAAGAGTGCCCACTATGTAACGATGTAAATTACAGTGAAGCTACTAAACTGTAATAATCGCAGCCAAGCTACAAAATATCATATTCAGAACGCCTTATCTGCTAAATATCTCATCAATGATTGATAAAATTACGTGGAAAATAGAACTTAAATTCAAATTCCAAGTTTCTAAAATAAATAAAAAACATAATTGATTCCGAAACAACTTTTCAGGACCAAACACTGAGCGAATTGTCTTAACGACAAAAGAGAATGAAAAACAGACAAAGAGTGTGTTTTTTTTAGCAAGTCAACGTTGTTGACTCATAAGAGAACGGCTGATGATAGCAGTAGCTTCAAGGTAACGATCAACGCATCTAGAGACGCAGCTGCTCTCGCCACTGCTAAGGCTTGATCCTGGACTCGTTACGCACTTATCGAAGCATTTAGCTCTCAGCGTCTCGAGCATCTCCTCAGCGTAAGCTTCGGCGAACTGCGCCTCCAACTGTTCCATTATTGCTTCCGGTGATTGACCACCACCCATATGCGGCGGCGGTGATGAGTACGAGTCCATTCTTTTAATTTCCACTAAAGATCGAAAATAAATTGGCGATTAGAATCAATCAATCAATGGATAATCAACTACGCAAGAGAGAGAGAGAGAGAAACAGTATACCGTAAAATCGATGAACAGAGAGTTTTGTTTTAGTGGAGGAGATGTTTTCCCTTTACTTCTGGGTGGTGACTGGTGTCTAGGGTTTCGCTTTTCACGGGCTTATGATATTATTTTAGTGGGCCGGGTTAAATCAAAGGTTACGGCTCATGTTTTTAATAGGATCATTTCGATAAATTGTATAGCTATAACTCAGTATTTTATGGATTTTTGAGCATCAATAATATTCCATCGATTCTACTTTTTTATTTCTAACATGACACTGAAATTATGTTGTGTGTTTATTTATATGTCCAAGTGGAAAGTCAACGATGACCCGGTCTAAATTCGGGTAAATGCATGACAAAATCCACTTGGGGTGATAGAAAATATTTGAAAACAATTTATGTACACTATGTCATTATTAATTAGAAAGTTTATATGACTTTTTACGACCAACTGAATCCCAATAATTCTACAAAGAAAAAAAAAAGGTACCAACTGGCAATCAAACGTCAGATTTTATTTAATATCAAACTACTCGTGGCTAGGTCAATAGTTTTGATGATGGCTAGGTCAATGGTTTGGCTGGCGTTTAGGAAGTACTCGTGAGTCGTGGCTAACGAGACAATTCGTACATCCATCCTGAGACTAACACAAGAAACACAAGAAACTTGACTATTCTTCTGTTCATTGCCAGAAACTATTTATGGTTATAGATACATCCTGAGACTAACACAAACCGATTTATAAAACAAACATGTCTAAAATGGAATAGTTAGCCAGCTAGCGGATTAAGACAAAAGAAATATGTTATTCAAAAGAGAGGATGAGAGTAGAAAGAGTCTCTTTGTTTGTTAATTCTTATTATATCTCTCTCAACGTGTTGGTATGTAGAAAAAGTCCTCTTTGTTTTTTTAATTCTTCCTCCTCTCTAAAAAGCTATTTGGTTCTTGCATATATTTGTCAACTGGATCAACAGTTCCGTGTTGGTATATACAAAGAGACTCTTTTTTACGTTAACTTCCCCTCCTTGTCTAAAAAGCTCTAAGATCTTGATCCTCTTTTCAGCAATCAGCTTCTACGCTCTTTTGGACACAATATTTTTCATCAGAAAATCAAGATCACATCAAGAAAACCAAAACAATGGCTTCTTCTTCTTCTTTAACTCTTTTGGCTCCCCAGTCTTCTTTGTCACACAGTTGGAAACACCATGTCTTCCCAAGCTTCCACGGGGCTGATGTCCGCACAAACTTTCTCAGTCACATTGTCAAAGAGCTCAAGAACAAAGCAATCGACCTATTCATTGACAATGATATAGAGAGAAGTAAGTCGATCAATCCTGAACTCATAGAAGCTATTAGAGGATCTAGGATTGCGATTGTATTTCTCTCAAAGAACTACGCTTCCTCGACATGGTGCTTGAACGAGCTTGTTGAGATCATGCACTGTAGAGAAGAGTTTGGTCAAACTGTGGTGTCCATTTTCTATGAAGTGGATCCAACTGACGTAAAGAAGCAGACTGGTGATTTTGGGAAGGTCTTCGAAAAAACTTGTGAAGAAAAAACAGAGGAGGAGATCCGAAGATGGAAACATGCTTTGGCGGAAGTGGCTCAAATCGCAGGTTTCCATTCAACAAACTGGTTCGTTCTCTTGATTCCCTCTCTTTCTCTTAATCTTTGTAACACATGATCAACCTCTATATCTTTGTAACTTTTAAACAATAGCCATCCTGGATACAAAATTAGGTGGTTCTTTCTTTTTTTTGATCTACAATTATTAGTATGAGAATATCTAAGTATGTGAAACTTTTCGTGATCATATATAACGGATTTATTGATCATCTACTTGTTCAGGAAGACTGAAGCAGAGATGATTGAAGATATTGCCACTGATGTTTCAAAAAAGTTGAACCTTTCAGCACCATGCAGTGATTTTGACGGCTTAGTTGGGATGGAATCTCATATGACAGATATGGAACCATTGTTACAGCTAGATTCAGATGAGGTGAGAAAAATAGGGATCTTGGGTCCGCCTGGGATTGGTAAGACCACTATTGCTAGATCTCTATTCAACCGACACTCCCGAAATTTCCAACTAACTGTCTTTATGGACAATATCAAAAGAAAGTATGTGATAATGGCTTGTTCCGATGACTACAATGTGAAGTTAGATTTACAGAAGCAGTTTATGTCTCAACTAACCAATGAAAATGGTATCATGATTCCACATTTGGGAGTTGCCAAAGACAGGTTGAAAGACAAGAAAGTTCTTGTCGTTCTTGATGATGTAGATCATTTAGTACAACTGGAAGCCATGGTGAAAGAAACTAGTTGGTTTGGTCCTGGGAGTCGGATTATCATCACTACACAAGATCAAAAGGTTTTAAAAGCAAGTGGGATCGACCATATACACAAGGTGAGGTTACCATCATATGATGAAGCTCTTCAAATGTTCTGCATCCATGCTTTTGGTCAGAATGACCCTAAGGATGGGTTTATGGAGTTTGCTTGTGAAGTTAAGAGTCTTGTAGGTAGTCTTCCATTGGGGCTAAAGGTTATGGGATCCTATTTTCGGGGAATGTCCGAGCAAGATTGGACAGAGGCACTACCAAGGTTAAAGGCACACGTCGAACGAAATGGAGAAATTGCAAGTATTTTAAAGTTTAGTTATGATGCCTTAAATGATGAAGATAAACGATTATTTCTTCATTTAGCCTGCTTTTTCAGTGGTGAACAAGTTGATATGGTGGAAATGTGTCTAGAAAAATGTTTTGATGATGTGAGACAAGGGCTTCGCGTCTTATCTGAAAAATCTCTGATTTCTATTGAACATAATTGGATAGAAATGTCTAACTTGCTAGTCCAACTAGGAAGACAAGTTGTGCGAAAAGAATCTGTTAGTGAACCTGGAAAACGCCAGTTTTTGCATGATGCAAATGATATTGGTGAAGTACTTAGTGATGATAACGCAGTAAGTTTTGAGATTGGTGTGTTTCATTGCATTGTTTGTTGTCTACAAATGTGAGATTATTTAATAACTAACAATCCTCTATTTATGTTTTATTGGGTTGTTTTACAGGGTAGTAGCAGTGTCATAGGAATATATCTTCAGTGGAGGAACGACATAACATGGACGAGTGAAAGAGCCTTTGAAAGATTGTCTAATCTTCAGTTCTTAAGAATCGAAAGCAGTGGCGTTGATCCGAAAAGTATGAACTACATATCCCGAAAACTTAGAGTACTAATTTGGCAGAGGTTCCACATGTCACGTTTTCCTTCAAGTTTTAACCCAAAGTTTCTAGTCAGGCTAGAAATGCAGTCTAGCACGCTTGAGAAATTGTGGGAAGAAAGTAAAGTAAGTAACATTTTATTACTGAAAATAAATGCCCAAGTTAGGCTATCTAACCAATTTTCTTATGTATTTAGAGCTTATTGTATCAATATGTTGTTCTTATTTGCTTCCTTTCATATGTCTTTAACAGCCTCTCAACAATCTAAAGGTGATGAATTTATGTGCTTCAAGGAGATTGAAAGAGCTTCCTGATCTCTCAACTGCCACTAATCTATATGAGTTGAATCTCAGCTATTGCTCAAGCCTGGTGAAGCTCCCTTCCTCTATTGGGAATGCAATTAATCTCAAAAAATTGTATCTCAGTGACTGTGAGAGGCTAGTAGAGATCCCTTCCTCTATTGAGAATGCAGTTAATCTCAAAATATTGAATCTCGAAAGTTGTTATGCTCTGGTGAAACTTCCTTCCTCTATTTGGAATATAGTTAATCTTGAAGAATTGAATCTCAAATATTGCCGGAGTCTGGTAGAGCTCCCTAGCTTTTCAAAGTCAGATTGCTCAAGAGGTACAGGTAACTGTCTTCCATTGATGGGGAGAATATCTCGTCTACGTCGACTTGATGCAGAAGGTTGCGAGTCCCTGGAGAGGGTAGATTGCCCCTTTCTCAATCCAGATATTAGTCTTAACTTCATTAGATGCTTCAAACTAAATAAAGAAACAAGAGATCTAATCAGCCTGACGCCAACCAATGGATATGCGATCTTTCCCGGTAAAGAAGTGCCTCAATGCTTCACTTACCGATCTTCCGGGAGCTCCTTAACTGTGAAGTTGAATCAAATGCCTCTTGGCACATCCACCAAATTTAAGGCTTGCATCTTAGTTTCTGATGATAACTACATGTTCCGTCGTCTAAATGGGCCAAGCGCATCTATTTGTTGTACCATCACGTCCGGAGGGAATGCTTTCATTGCTTGTAATAGAAGAGTAGAAATTCTTTTGCAGGGGAATATGAACGCATTGGAGGTTGAGGTTGAAACAGAGGCGATCACTTCCACTGAGCTTGTTTTTGATTTCGGGATCCTCGATACGAATTCCAACAGATGGAAGATAAAAGAATGCGGGATATTCCAACTCCTGGAGGTCCCCATTGAGCTTCAGAGATTTTGAACCTGCAGATATTGAATGAGCTTGTTCATTAAGATCATGGTGACAAGAGACTATACCTATTTTGTGATTCTCTCTCATTCTTGATTCCCTAAATAACAGTCTTTGTATTTTAGCATCTTTAGGGTACTTATTGAGTATGTAATAAACAGCAAAACTCTAAACCAAGAATCAATACAGAACATAAAGATGTTGCCACTTCCTTGGTGGATAAGTAACAGAGTGTAAGTGATCTGAAAACTGAATGATTCTTACTGAGGTTACATTTATACATTAGTTGAGAGAATGCAGAAGTGATATCAACTCAAAAGAGCTAAAAGTGCAGCAGAGACACAGCTATTGTAGCTTAACACAAAATATTGATTTCTCTAAAGAAGTCATGTAACATATAATTTGAAGCGCAAGAGCCATCAAACCCTGCTAAGATCTCAGAAATCGATAGGATTAAACGTTTATGATTAACAAAGGAGTTTGTTTTCACCTGAAGCTAAGCAAGTTGTTAAACTTGCCTAGTATAGGTTTCCTTCTTAGTAGGAAGCTCGTAGTTGATGAGAACTCGTGACTCGTCCAGATGAAAGCATCGGAAGGCAAATGAGATTTCTTTTCATTTTTTGTCTGCTCCTGCTTCTAAACCTTCTTCTATTACTGCAGAGTTAAGTTGATGGCCACTTGTCGGAATTTCTCTAAAACCGAAGCTCGTTCTT